CACCATATCATTAATACATCACTCAATTATTGTTATGATCAGTATTTATTCATTTATATCATCATTGAGTTCTTTTATACCTGATTAAATCAATTAAACTCTTTTTATTAAGACAAAAAAAAAATCATTTCATATCTTATCAAAACAAGTTGTAAACTCAAGCGACAAAAATAAAACATTACATAAATAGTGTCAAAGATACTTATTATATATTTTCTTGATTATATTATTTTTTTGACAATATTTATTTTGAATAAGACATAAGTATTCTCTAATAAAGACAGTTGTGATTATATAACTTTTAGGCGTCTAACCTTTCTTTAGCATATATAATAAATTATAAAAGAATATCGAGTTTTACTAAAATCATAATTTTTATTTTTAATTAAAATTTGTGATCGTTTCAAAAATAAAATTTTAATTTTGACTTGACCAAACAATGAACGTTTGTGTATTTTTTTCCAATCGGGATTTCTTTAAGTTGTAATATTTGAGAAAAATTAAATTTAATTTAGTGAAATTAAAAAATTCGTATTTATTTTAAAAATAAAATATAGGAGGAAATGTAGGAGAAAATATGGGAGCTTTGGTCAAAGTAATATCGTATTTTAAAATTTATATTTTAGCATTTGATCTCGTGAAGTAATTATAATTTTTAGGGCCCTCGACAATAAATATCATCCTATCTAGATTCTTCTCTCTAATTTTTCCTTCATTATGTTAGGATAAAATTGCACCACTTAAAATTTTAAGGCGATAAATGCACCTCTAAAAATAGTTTGGGGTACTAGGTGCATTTTTACCCAAATTTTAATAGATGAGGATCTATCTAGAATTTTTTTCTGATTGATATTGGTTGATTTAAATTATATTAAAATTTAAAAGAAAAAGAAAAAGTATATCTTAAATCTACCAGATAAAATCAAATTGGATTTACTATAGTAGAGTGATGTATCATATCTTTCTTAGCAAATAAATTTTTTTAATCAAATTTCTTAACAGATAAATTTTAATCAAATTATTTTTTTTTAAGAAAATCATATATCACTGTCTTTTCCTAGTTTAACTTTGAGTAAAACGCCTATATATGTATCCTTGTTGATTAATCGTACCTTTCACTCCAGTTTTTGTTTGTTCTGCTATATTCTCATTTATTTTTCTAATCTTTTTCATCATGACACTGTTTTTTGGGCAAGCTACAAATATAGACTCTAATAAGAAATGAGTTTTATTTATAATTTTTTAATCTAAAAAGAGTTTCCAAATCTATATTCTAACTTAAAATATATCACAATTTGGATTTTTTCCTCAAATTATAATAATATGATATGATTCTTAAATTCTAATAAAGAATGTGATCATTTTCAAAACTTGTAGACAATGAAAATTGATTTTTTTTATAAATTTAAACTAATGCAATTGGAGATATAATATATATATATATATATATAATACAACTTTTATCCTTTTATCAAAATTTTAATATAATTATTTGATATTCGGTGCAGCTAACTTTTATTTAATTTTTGCCGGCTCAGTTTGATTCATACTGCGTGACAACTGTCAAATATATTGTTCCCGATTTGTCTGTTAACATACTATTTATAAAGAAATAAAATATTTTTCATAAATAAACCATATAAATCATAAATAGCGGAGATAAAAACTTTAATTACAAAATTATGTAATTTAAAACTATGTAGATCAAATAATTGAGGTTAAAATATTCTGATATTCAAATATATCTTTTTATCGTGTTGTATACTATTTGGAATCTCAAAAAGTTTCAAACAATTATTCTATATATAAAATTTTAAATGATGATATTTAATTCAGAAATTGAATGATTTCATTACTTATAATACTTAAATTTTTAGTGATTTTAACCTTCAACGTTGTTAATATAATATAATTGTAAGTCACAATAGCTTTTCAGAAGCATATAAATTTGAACTAAAATTATTAATTACAGAATAATATATTTATTCGGTAAATTTTAAAAATACAATTTTTTTTAACAATGTGCGATGTATCTAGGATTGTATTTTTTTTAATCTATATTCATTGAGTAATTATTTTATAACAATTATTATTTATTATTGTTGAGAAGACCTCGACAGTTAGAGACTATAATAAATAATAATACAACTTTTTTCAATTTTTTAACCCAAAAATCTGTTAATTTTAAATAAACACAAACATTAAAATTTCAATAGATAAGAATCAATCTAGAATTTGATTCTGATTTAAATGGTTTGATTTAAATTATATTAAAATTTAAAATAAGAAGAAAAAGAATATCCTGAATCTACCATAAAATCAAATTTGATTTTCATATATCCTAGCTTTCCCTTTTTTAACTAAGACTAAAATGCTTATTTATATATATATATATATATGCTTGCTCTGTTATCGTACCTACATCCAAATTGTACCTCAGGTGTTTTTCTAATCTTTTTCATCATGGGCGCTGGAGCTGTGATTGCTGATAATAATAAAGCTTACCCTGGTAAGCTCACTTGGTCGGTCTTCAAAGCATGCATTGTCGCATCAATGGGAGGCCTCATCTTTGGCTACGATATTGGGATTTCTGGTAATCAACATCTCCCTCTAATCTGATTCTCGTTTTTGTTTCTTTTACCTAATCTTCTGGGGATTATCTTTTTATGGTTTTTATTGGGGGTTGATTTTTGAAACAGGCGGGGTAACTTCCATGGATTCATTCCTGGTGAGATTTTTTCCTTCTGTCTATCGGCAGAAAAATATGGACAAGTCCACCAATGAGTACTGTCAATATGACAGCCAGATACTGACTCTGTTTACATCTTCCTTATATCTCGCCGCACTCTTGTCCTCCTTGGTAGCATCCACCATGACTCGTAAATTCGGTCGCAGAAATTCGATGCTTATTGGCGGCATTCTCTTCTTTGCCGGAGCTTTGTTGAATGGCTTCGCTCATGCAATATGGATGTTGATCGTAGGCCGTATGTTGCTTGGTTTTGGTGTTGGATTCTGCAATCAGGTATAAATATACCATTCTTCCTCCCTGATTCTATCTTCCTATTACATTTGGCGCGCACGCACATATATATATTTATCTTCACGAACTAATATGCGGGTTGTTATTATTGCAGTCTGTGCCACTGTATCTCTCTGAGATGGCTCCCTATAAATACAGAGGAAGTCTGAACGTAATGTTTCAAATGTCAATCACGATTGGTATTTTGATTGCCAATGTGTTGAATTATTTCTTTGCCAAGTTGGGCGGTTTAGGGTGGCGTTTGAGCTTAGGTGGTGCTATGGTGCCGGCACTTATCATCACCGTCGGCAGCTTCTTCCTTCCCGACACTCCAAACTCCATGATCGACCGGGGAGATAACGAAGGAGCCAGGGCCAGTCTCGAGAAGATTCGAGGAATCAAAGAGGTTGACGAGGAGTTCAGAGATCTGGTCGCGGCTAGTGATGCGTCCAAGCAAGTAGAACGTCCGTGGAAGAATCTGCTGCAGAGAAAGTACAGACCCCAACTCACCATGGCCGTCATGATCCCTTTCTTCCAGCAACTTACGGGCATCAACGTCATCATGTTCTACGCTCCTGTTCTCTTTAACTCCATTGGGTTTAAGAGCGACGCTTCTCTCATGTCCGCCGTCATCACCGGCTTGGTCAACGTCATCGCCACCACCGTCTCCATTTACGGCGTTGACAGGTGGGGAAGGCGAGCCCTCCTCCTTGAGGGAGGAATCCAAATGCTCATATGCCAGGTATATTACATGCACACACTTATGTTCATATTGGGTCTTACTTCTTACTTTCAAATTCAAATTTGAATTTTCGGAGCTGATGATTTTATGGACAATGACGCAGATTATAGTCGCAGTCTTCATCGGAGTGAAGTTCGGGACCGATGGAAATCCGGGAATGTTGCCGATATGGTATGCAGTAGTGGTGGTGGTGTTCATATGCATATACGTGTCTGGCTTTGCGTGGTCGTGGGGTCCGTTGGGGTGGTTGGTGCCGAGTGAGATTTTCCCGTTGGAGATTCGATCGGCGGCTCAGAGCGTGACGGTGGCGGTCAACATGTTGTTCACTTTCGTGGTGGCTCAGATATTCGTGACCATGCTGTGCCATTTGAAGTTCGGGCTGTTCATCTTCTTCGCCGCCTTCGTGGTGGCCATGACCGTGTTCGTCAACTTCTTGCTCCCTGAGACTAAGGGCATTCCCATTGAGGAGATGGCCCGAGTTTGGAGGACGCACTGGTTCTGGTCCAGATTCGTCGACCATGAGGATGACGTTAAGACGTCTTCTGTAGTGGATACTATAATTTAGTTTTTTTCCCTTTCAGCATTGTTTAATTTAGTTGAGTTTGGTAGATAGTTTCGGAGGGTGACTCTATTTCTTTGTTTTTTTTTTTTTTACCTCACAATGAGATTAACGATGCTTTGTTTTTTTGCGTATATATTCATCTTTCATATTATATTTCTTCTAATTTTGATTGGCAATGAGATATTATTGAATGATTGATACAAAGGATCTAGAAAGAAAAACCATCCTACTTGAAAACTGGGGAAAAACAGCCAGGGAAAAAATAAATGCGGAAAGACCGATATGCCCAAACCTATCTGTTTCTGTGCAGAGTCTACTTCGCTTTCCTCTCCGGCCGTCGCTGTGTTCTGCAGATTCCATAGGCAAGATTCCACGACGGAATCTGTGTTTCCAGAGTTGCTGGTGGTATCTCCATGTCTCTTATCTGTTTCTCATTTCTAAGATTACTTTTCGTATGCTTCCTGCTTTCCTTCCTTTGCCTCCCTCCTTCTCTCCCTCATAAAAAGTTATCGGGTGCGAATTAGATATAGGGGATTAGATTTTGGAGACACCAGGGCTGGCGGAATGCTCGAGGTGTTTCAAGTAAAATTATGTAACTTTGATGTTTTTCTTTCCATTGGATGTTGCCTTTTCATAAGGAAAGATAACAGAAATTATTCGTAGGCCAAAAAATATTTTCAATTTGTAGTCTAGCCGTAGAAGACTCTGATACGGGTAAACTGCTGCGGGTGGAAACCTGAACAAGTTGAAGAAGAGAAAACACGATAAATATCTCCTTTGAAACAAGCCAACATCTACAATTCTTAGGGAAGATAAAAACATTACTGGGCTTTAGAATTTTATTTACGAAATGATTGAGCCCAGATTCTTTTATTTTATGGCATAGCCTCAGGGGACTAATTTTCAAGTTTGTTTATTGGGGGGGGGGGGGGGAGAACTAATTTTCAAGCTGCCTATACTGTGCTTGTGTTGGATAGTGCCTTTGGTAGGCATAGACAAATTCTCCCCCTCCATAGCTGCTTCCTTCTTCTCCTCTTCCACCTCCATACGGATATGGACTCCCAAACAGATAATCTGCAGTTCCTTTCCACATATTCTCTCTGTAGCAGTAGTCTCCTTCAATATCATCACTAGATCCCTCACAACAGGTTTCTCTTTGCTTCTTCATTCGTGACAAACAAGGCCAATACCCAAACAAACTTTCACAGACATCCAGTGCTTCCAAGCCATACCCAGGAGGATATTGTGCGAGCACTGGCTTCTCATACTCATCATAATGTCCTCCACTGTACCCATTGCCATAACCACTTCCATTAACAGGCCTAGAATCATCTTCTTCCTCTTCTTCTTCACCAGCAGAAGGATTGAGATCCTGAGTGTCATCGGTCTTGTTCTCATCTTTCTCAGGCAGATCTGTAAGGTTAATTTGTGGTTGAGGCATTTCATCAGGAACTTGGCCTGCACTTTTATTCTGGGGTACGATTGCTTTCTCATCAGTTCCCTTTTCCACAGCAGGCAATGGCACTGGAGGCCCAGAAGGAAGGGCATTCGAACCTGACCCAGAACGAGGATAACAAGTTTGATCTGAAGGGGGTAGAGGTTTGCCATAGGTCTTAACGATATCATACCCACCACCATAAGGGGTTGGATCATATTCTTCAAATTCAGGCTCATTAAATTCCAAATTAGAGTAGTAAATAACAAGCTGAGACTTCTCATAATTGGGATCGTACTCAATAAATTTGGGTTCACTGAAAGTGGCCGCAGAGTATGATATGGTAGGGTAACTCAGAGCAGGGTAGGTAGGAGTAGGATCATAATATGAATTTGGATCATATCTAGAATAAGGTTGATCGAATTCTTGATAATTATAAGCCGTAAAACCTGGATTCTGGGCATAATCGTAATTCACAGCATAAGAATTGTAATTGTACTCACCAAGACCAGACCCAGAATAGGAGCTGTAAAATGCCATTATTGATCAGAGATTGAACCTGGTGCAGAAAGTATCTGAAGCTCAGCTCTCTCCTACGAAGTGTTGTATCTGCAAAGATGAAGGCCTTTCCTTTTCACACTGAAAAAGAAAGAGGGTTCGTCATAACTCTTGCCAACCGCTTGAATCTTATCTATATAATAATAAAATATTAAGATGCGCACATGCATGTTTACTTTTGAGGGACGCTGAGGAATTGCAGGCACTAATGGCCAGTGGGCGAAGTAGAGGGTATTTTCTTCTGCCATGTGTCATGTTTAGAGAACGGCACTTCAAAATTCAACCAGTTTTTTTTTTTTTTTAAATGATTGAAAGTGTTATTTCATAAAATTATACAAACTAGAAATAGCACGTTGCCTATACGAATATCCTTCGGATTTGGGAATATACAAAAAACTGAAAAAGGAAGCTAGTGCTCGTGGCAAGCAAAAGTCACCTTTTTCTTTTCTTTTTTTAATTTTAATTCAAATTGTTCATTTTTAAAATTAATCTTTAGAACTTTGTTTTTTTAAGAAGAAATTAAGAGTAAACCATCACAATCACGGTCGCTGCTGCCACCATCCCGCTGCCGCCATCACTATCACCTTTATTGGAGATATAATGAATCTAGCAATAAATGATTTGTTTTCTTTTTTCTTTTTATATATTCAAAGGTATTATAGAGTTTTCATTTTGATTAAATATAAAAGTAAACTTTTTGCTTACCAAACACATTAATTGCATCGCATCACATTGCATTATCATCTAAGTACGCGGAAATTGAACCAAACAGGCGCAAAATCAAAGATAGAGTTTAAAATATTCCTCTGGTTCTAAATATATTATCCTTATATATACTAATATAAAGGTCTTATATTTAAGACTGGAAAAGTATCAATATTTTTGGGTGAGATTATTGCATACTTTTTAGGAGACGTGAGCGTGTAAAAAGCCAAAAAAAAAAAGAAAAGAGAGCGAGAAAGGAAAAGAAAAGGATTGGGTGAATGAATGAATGGGATGAAAACAAAGCAATGGCCGAAAAAGGGGGGTGGGGGGGCCATGCAATGATGTTAGTAAAGAAGTGAAGACGAATGATATAAAGAGGGAAATGATTAGAGATGGTTACCATAGGAAGCCTATAATGAGCCGAAAGGATCGTGCCGCGGTTCTGCAAAATGGGTCGTTATCAGAATGCTCCCAATGCTCCACCTCCCCGCACTCCTACCGTTAAAAGTCGAGAAATTCTTGACAAACACAGGTTGGGCCAGCTCTAGGTTTCTTAAGCTCATACCCTTCTCTTGTTAATTGGGTCAGAATGAACCCCGCGGCATTAATTGGGCCTTCGTTATCATATTATCTCCTATTTATTGGGCCTACTTTTTTAAGCTTTGACCCGCGAAGCGCTCTCTCCCGGACTTTTCCACTCCTTCCTCCGCAAGCAAAGAGGCTGCAAGGATGCCAGGCGACCAAGTGAAAGTGAACAGCCCCAAGCAAATCTTCCAGGGAGCGTACCCGTTCTAGCCAAACAACGAAAAGGAGAGAGAATATGAACGAACCCAATCTCTCATCTAGTGGTACTATTGGGATGTAGGAACTAGGAAGCATCTAGCAAATTGGGCCTTCTTTTTTATGGCTACAATAGAATTTTGATTTTCCCTTTCTGGGATGAAAATTAAAATAAAACAAACTAAATAAAAGGAAAGGCTATCGGCCGCGTTGAGGTTCAATAAAAATGACTAATCCTCAAATTGTAACGAATAAAATTTAAATTTTACTAAAAGAGATGTTCATTTTTACTATTTGACAATAGTGCATATAATTATAGTTCAACTAATGAGCCATGAACTTGAGTCTCAACCAATTCAATAAGAAATCCATTTTGCTATCATCAACAAATCTAATTAAAGACTTCAATCCCAAAGCATAAGTTAAAAACGAAAAAATTTCATATCTCTATCATCCGTTGCGTATTAGAGATAAATTTCATTCCCTTCAAAACATCAAAAATAGTTGTTAGAAGTCGGCTAGCTGGGTATCAACAGCTTGTTCAAGTTTTATTACATGTATTAGAAACTATCAAGTTTCAATAAATTACGAGCCTATGAAGAGAAATTGAGGCTTATCAAAACCTTATATTAATCAAATGGCCTCTTGATCTCTCCATGATCATCGACTCCGTACATTTTTTTTCTGAAAAAAATTCCATCCATAGAGGAATTTCGGTAGCTAGTTAGGAGCTGGAGTTAAGAATTGATTTATGTATTGCATGGATTAGCTTGATTAACTTATTAAACTCATTTAATCAAACAAGAAGTCAAACTTAAACATTTGATGCTTATCTCATTAAACTTGACTGTAACACACACACACACACACAACATTATTGTTGAGTCATTCGTGAGGTCACCATCAATCCACACCCAAATATGGGATGCATGGTTTAAGTCACTTACCCTAAGCAAAAGATTAATGTTTTCTGTTTATGTGGTTGACTCGATCACCAAATTAAAAAATGATCTAAAAAACAAATGAGTAGTCTTAACTAATTAATATCATAATCATAGTATATATTAAACACTAATCAGTCAGAGATCATATAAATATATATATATATATATATCAAATCCCAAGATTTGGATTAAGTTGTTTCAGGATTCGTGCAGAAAGATTGTAACCAAATGAATCCTTCCAAAGTATCTATATAAACGTTAAATGTGTCAATAATACATAGTTGGTCCTCATCAAAAGATGGATAGGAAATTAAACGGCAGTTCCACCATTAAACAAAAAACGTGTTGCTTATTTTATCATGGTTTTTGACCAAATCTTTTTAATATTATATATCAGTGGTTCAACAGAAATTCATGCATGTATATAATAAAATACTTTATCGATCCACCATGCAAAAAATGAAGATTGCGATAATCCACCAACAAGCAAACAAATTAAAGCATAATTAAACACTGCCATATTAATTAATCACCTTTTAATTTCCAAAACCAGTTCTATTATATATACCATAACTACTGCTTCGGGTCCTATCTACTTAAACACTGCCATATTTCTCGTGTGTCCGTGTGTGTGTCTGCATATATATGATTTGTTGACTTTTGTTTATACACAAATATAATTATCTTAATTTATTTGTCTTTCAAAACTTTGTAGTGGCTATAAGTTACCCATATGGATAATTTTCTTTTGTTTTTTGTTTTTCAAAAGGAGCAGTTTACCTTCTACGGGATTGGGGTATCAGGATCTGTACGAAAGTTTGTATCTTCTTGAGAAATAAATCAGTTTGGATTCTGCTGTTTAATTCTGAAAAATCCAACATAAATAAGTCAACATATTTTATTTATATTCGAAATTTTTGATTAAAAAAAAACAAAGAGGATATTCAAATGCCAAGTCCCATTGAGGGTTTGACTTCATAGTCTTATTTCAGGTTAATTAGACATGGTTTTTATTGTATGATACTACTAGAGTTTGAGAAATCAATCATGCTATTCGTAATATTTAATATTTGTTTTTTTGTAAGTAATTAATTTACTATATTTAATGTATTATTGACTTTTGTCAAGGGCTCATTTAAAAAAATTATTAATTCTGTGCATATTTATTTAGTACATACAGTATTATTATAACTCTCTCTTAACTAATACGAGTATTTTTTTTAAAAAAAAAAATTTAAAGGGCGGCGCCTTATAAGACAAAGGGAGACACCATGATATGGAGTGACTAGCGAGAGAGAATGCTTTTATAAATTACTTTATAAAGTATGAGTCAATGGTCTCCTCTGTAAAACCCTACCATTGCCAATAAATGAACCATATTAATTAATTGGATGAGATTTCAGTTTCATTCCTCAAAGCCAATCATAAAATGGCTTCGCCTCTCTTTGAAATTAAATATCTCACTCTGAAATCGACATTTACGGGTACACGTATTTCTTTTATTTTCTTTTTCCCAACACTACGTATTTCACATATTTCAGTCAATTACATGTGTGTGATTGTGTAATATTTACAATACAAAATTCAAATAAAGTTGTGCACTTGGTATTATTTATAAAAAAAAAATAATGAACGGCTTATCTCAAATTCTATTTAAAAGTAAGGGCCAACAATCAATACATCTAATTAATTATAAAAATGGGCGGCGAAAGTGAGTGGATCAATGGAATTGCTAGTAAAGAATAATTAGCTAAAACTAATTAATTAGCAAATGATGGCATATTTAGGCATAAGTACACTAGAATATTGCATAATCATTTCTCTCATCTATCCCTATTACACTAATGTTATTTTATAATATTCAACTTACTTTTGGACTCATCCATTAATACTTTAACCATCTGGTCGCATCCCACTGAATTAAATAAGCAATTGATTTAATCCTGACCTGAACTTTTCTATGCCATTCTTTCTTTTTCCTTTTCATTATTTTTTTTAAAAGTTTTGTTTCTTTGGCCTGATGATTCAATTTGACTCATTATTGTTGGTGTGTATCCCAGTGGAAACAGTTTCTTTAGTTCATCATGGAGTTGAAGAATGACTTCTGGGAATTAAATGTATATAATAATACACCTCATGTTATACTGATCAACTGGTTCTGGATCGTTGTGTTCAATGGCCTAGTTCAACTAAAGTTTAAATTCCAGAATATGTTAGTTTTCTAAAAACATTTATTTGAGTTTCTTTCTTGTACATAGTATAAGTCAGCTCATTAAATTTATTATATGAAAGCTAATTTATTGTTATGTAAACTGTTATATGTCTAAAAAGTATGATATATATATTAAATAGGCTAAAAGGTTAAAAATTATTAAATTTTAAAGCAGAGCTAATAAGTTTGAAAGTTATTCTTGGATTTAGTGAAATATGTGGAAGTGTACTGTCGTGTCTCATAAAAAGGACTAGAGGAGGATATAATCTTATCATTTACATCATATATTAGAAATATACATTTATTCCTTAAAATATTTAAATTCTGCAAGTTATAAAATAATGTTATTCATTTGTGAAAAATCTCCGCATAAAACTAATTAGTGAGGAACCATTTGATAGCGCTTTAATTTGTGAAGATAACACAAGAACAATCCACCCTGTCAGAGAGACAAACAAAGACGAAGATGTTCCACTACATATTGAATGACATAATTATCGTTGACTACAATAAGCTGACCATTACCTATTTTCCAACAAAAAAGTTTTTTTAAAAAAAAGAGCTTACCATTACCAACAACCCACAAGCTGGGTTTTTTCACACATTCTCCCATTTTAATTTTTGATTAAAAGGTCAAAATGGATAGGTCATATATATAGGGTAAAATTTCTAGTCCAGAGACATTTGTGCAATTTTAACAAAATTAGAACATTATGGGCGTGCGCGCATACACACAAATATATAATGTTTGGAACATTATAAAGGATGGAAGAGAGCAGGTATATTCTACTTGCAACAATGTTTAAGAGAAAATTCAAAATGGAAGCAATAGATATGACTTGAAGATGATGATTGCTTTGGTTTACGAAATAACAATTTTTAACCAATGGAGGATAGGTTTAGTAAAAGTAGTCAGTTTCTTACAACATGACGAACTAATATTTAAATTTTTATTAAGAGATATGCTAACATTTAATGTCTGATAATGCCTCAAATATTGTCTCTAATAAAAAAATATCTATACATAGCCAAAAGAAAAAATGACAATTTTAATTTTATGAAATGACATCAAAATTTAATGACAACTAACATAATATAAAATTTGATCCCCTGCCTAAGCTCCTACAACTAACATAATTATACGTCCATCCTCGCATATGACCGAACAAAAGCACACCAGCACACCCCTAGCTTACTTATATGTCATTTTTCTTGGAATAAATAGGGGTAAGTAAACAATATTAAGGAAGTTAATTAACTAAGTAGTTACAATTTTAAATTTTTTTGTTTTGGGTTAAAATGGAAGTAGATGTGAAAATAATAGAAGAAGGGGATTTTAGAGAGTGGAAAATAAATAAAACGGGGATTCTAGAAGGGTCATGAGGTATGACATGAGCAACTTTATTGGGTGCACCTGTTGTGCATGGGAACATTTTGTAAACACAAGAGGACGCCCATGTTGTTCCAAAACACCTTCCACTACTTGGTCCCTCCTCCCTCCATCCATGCCTCTTCCCAATTCCTATCCTCTCATATGTATGTATATATACTTAGTTATTCTCACTTAATAATAATATAAATATTTGTTATTTATTCTCATTATTCTCTATGTAACACGGGAACGTGTATGGACGACGTCGGCTAACTGTGCTTTCTGAATCCAACAGGTCAAACTTAACTTGATTTTCTCTTCACATTTTTAAATATATAATTTGTTTTTTCCCCACTTATTCTCCAACTCAATTATATGTTGTGAATATTGCTGGATATACAATGATACTTGGTGAGACTCAACGGTTACTGAATTTGACTTTAAGCATTTTGCAACTCATTAACTCGTTGACCGCAATCGAATGTAGTCTCCATTGGTTGAAAATATTTGACCCATCATTTCTTACTGCCCTCAATTGATTATTAATTTATTGAAAATCAATAACACAATATATAATATTTATCAATGCATGCCCCTCAACGATACTCGATGTCTAATATAAAATTGATGAAAAATTACATTATTTATAATTTATAATAAGTTGTATGGCTCATGTTAAATTTTGTAAAATATACAAAACTCAAACCTATAGCAATCTAGTATCTCTCTCTTTCTTTCTATATATATATAATCTGAAATTTAAAAATATAAAGTGACTTTTATCTATTCGGTATGAGGATCGTGATTGATTGGTACTCTAGGAGGTCCAGGAAGGTGAACATTTGGACCATTAAATGGTCCTCAAGTTTCATCTCTACATCGCAAGTTTTGATCTCTTTTCTTTTCATATATAATTAGTTCACAATTTAATCTTTGGGCTCAAAAAGTGGGGGGAAAGTTAGCTAATACTCATCTAAAATAATTTTTATACATAAGGCTTAGCCGTTGGATTTTTAATAAAATCAAGACGCGTCATTGAAATAAATTAATATCGGGTCATTATCACTTTTCATCATCAAACATTCCTTTGCATGCAAGGAACACAAATTGTCCCCAAGAAAATGTTCTGAAACTCCTAAAATCATTATTATAATTACAATTTTAACCAGAAGACAAGAGAGAATTAGAATTGGATTCATAATTCTGAATTCTGCCTCTCTCTTTTCTCACTCCTCGTTTGGTAGAGGAAAAAAATAAATATTCTCAAGCCTTGTGTCATTTGTCCAATCATGCCCTTACTATATAATAATGTCAACCAGGTTCCGGTAATATCCACTTTCCGAATCCTTCAAACCGTTTCACATATATAAAACTCTAATCCCTCCCTACCCTAACATCAAGCCGAGATTCTACATACCAAGAAGCCATGGCAGAGGAGTTTGAAGCTGCTGGGATTTATGGTGGAAATTGGTGGAACATGAATACTTGTTCATCAAGAAGTGTGTTCCCTCTCATCACTTCATCTTCATCATCATCATCACTCTGTTCTATTGCAGCAAATCAAGATGGAGGCAACTTTAGTTGCGCTTGGCAAACTGATAATCTCGTGGATCTCAAGTCGCCTTTAGTTTCTCATCATCATCATGATGCTCTGGGTTTTCTAGTTCAGCAGAAGCAAAACCATCAGAATGAATCATCACCTGATGCTTCTGAAAATAATGGAAAAATATTGATGGATTCCTCCTTGGGCTTTTCCAACTGGAATAACCACTCTTTACTGTAAGTTTATATCAGTCTTTTCCTCCCAGAAATTCTGGTTTTATAATATCCTCATATATCTTCTCAATAAATTAATTATGCTGTTTTTGTTGCTAGTGGGAGACCAGAAAGCAATTTCGAATCTGTTCTTGAAGAAGAAGGTGGAGTAGATTCTTCGAATTCAGAAATGAAAACCATGAACCAAGAATTTGCCTTAGATCATCGTCAACAGAATCTGAGTTCTGCCTCATATGGCTATGGCCTGTGTGATGAGCACAATCCTCTTCATCATTTTCAACCACAGCCACAGCCAGAGGGCTCGCTTTTCACCAACCCTTCTTTGGCTTATAGTTATAGTTCAGCCAATCAAGCCTCGCCAAGTTGGTCCAAAGCCTCTGATCACTTTTTGAACCCTTCAATGCCAAAGCAGCAGCTGGGTGGATTCCACTTTTCAAACGACAATGATAATAATAATTCTCCTTTTTGGAATAATTCTTCAGCTGATCATCGAGCACTTGATGACGTACCAGCACCACAAGTGATTTTTGCTTCATCCCCACAATCTCAAACTTTTGAACACAAACCCAGTTGCTCAGCTCTCTTAACCAAGGTATTTAATTCATTATACCTATATATATATAAATATTCCAGTTACAGTAGTTATTATACTTTCTAGGGTAAAGACATGAGTTATTGTCTTTGTTCCTCAAAGACGTTAACAAAACATTTAATATATTTCTTGAAATACTCACATTAGCGTACGTCATTTTAGTATTTTGTTATATAGTATGTCATAGTAACAACTGAATATATACACGAAGCGACAGATACTAGAGTTTTAGTTACGCATAATCACGATATATATATATATATATATATATTCATCCATTAAAGAGCTTAATTAAAGAGAGAATTACAATAGCGTCTCATACCAAAAAAATAACTATAAAAAGTTTCAATGGCAAGTGAGGAATTGTCATTTTTTACTCTGAAACTTATCATTATAAGCGTTGAATTGTCATTGGACTTTATATTAATTATGTTGCATTCTTAAGACTTTTTTGTAGTTCTTCCTTAATAAAATGGAATACATTCTACAAAGTTGATATGACATTATTAAGTTTTCACATTCGGAGGGAAAAAAAAGCTGGGATGAAGTGCATCTTTTGAGAATAAAAATATCAATTCACTCATTGGTATTTCAAAAAAGTTTTCTACGCGGATCACAGCTAATATTATAGCTGAGAATATTTGTGGCGCCGTACAAGTTCGTAGTTATATGTCAGAATCTGATTTCTTGGCTATGTCTTTGTAAACTTGCATAACAACCAAACGGCAATCCATTTTGCAGCACAAAAGAGAAGAGGCTCCTGTTAGTGAACCAGCTGCATTCAAAAGGCCCAGAATTGAAACTCCATCCCCACTGCCAACTTTTAAGGTATACTTTATGTGATGTGTGTGTGTGTGTACATATATATATTCGAAGCTTTTTTGACTCTTCAGACGAAGATGAGATGGTTGAGGTTTATTCAGTTTTGATCGTAATAATAAAACCAAGTTGATACGTATGGACAGGTTCGGAAAGAAAAGTTAGGGGACCGAATCACAGCTCTTCAGCAGTTGGTTTCACCTTTTGGAAAGGTGAGTTTTTTTCCTTTTTCTCTGTTTGTTTCCTTTCACCTTTTTTCCTCCTTCGCCTGTATGCTATGAGACAGGATTTGGATCTTTATTTTATTATATATGCCTACGTTGATTTTAAGAAGATCTCACCCAAATAATATCATATTCTTTTTTATTTTTATAGACTGACACAGCATCAGTTCTTCACGAAGCCATCGAGTACATCAAGTATCTTCATGATCAAGTCAGCGTGCGTTCCCATGACTTTGCTTCAAACAAAACCCGAATTCATTGACGCATTAAAATAAAATAAAAAATTAAATTCTGATATGAACTTTCGCCTCTTGAATTTCAGGTTTTGAGTGCTCCATATTTGAACAATAACGGACCTGCTGCCCAACACTATCAGGTACTTCAATATTAAAGCTTACATATCATATCTATATAATCAGGAGTTCAAACCATATTTGTAGGGTAGATATATGCTTAAACGAAAATTAAGTTTTTTTCTTTGATTGGGGTTAGGGTTGTGAAGAGAAAGAATCAAAAGGGGGAAAGCAAGATTTAAGAAGCCAAGGGTTGTGTTTGGCACCGATATCGAGCACCTTCTCACTTGCTAACTATGAGATGATGGCTTCTGAGTTATGGACGCATGCATATGGAGGAGCTTTCATCATCAGGTAGATATAGAGAGGGAAGATCAATAACCACACGCCAAAGTAGAGAGACTCTTCGGAATCTCCTAAAGTACACATATATTTCGAAGTGGGAAAGAAAAGAAAATAATTAAGTGATATAAGTTATGCTTCACGCCTTAGAAGATTCAAATTGGTTAAAACTGACATTAACTATTTGGAAAATGGAAGAAGAAGAAGATATCCAAGGATTCCAAGCTGCAATTGTTGATCGTAGAAAAAAAGAAGAAAAAGAAAGAGAAAGAAAAGGATTTGTGACCTAATTACAGAGAAGAACAGGAAATACTGGGCCAGGTGTACGTGTTTATATATAGATGTAAGCACCGAATGATGCAGGCTGGCAGATGATTACTGACCACTGGAAGAGAACATATATATATATATATAATGACTAAGCAAGCTACTTTATCTTATATATTATGAATATGACCCATTTGTGTACTGTCGCTGAATTCTGCTCAATTTCACATATTCATAGCTGAATGTGACAGAGAAGCCCTTTGTTCCTGTTGATGATCATTTTATGTTTATTATACGATGTAGAAAGTTGAAGGAAAAAAAATTGAAACGATCATTATTACATACATATTGTATACGTGTATTCGATTCTTCTTCTTTATATGTTCTTCTGCTTCTTTCCTTTGTTCTCTTAATTTGTCGTTATATGATATGCGGGGGCAAGCGTGCACGCCTCCGATTTCAGTCTCGTATCTCATTATTACTTTCTTTAGCATTCAGTTAGTATTCTTTAATTTTCAGATAGTGCTATGGCGGTAGCACATTGCCCAGCACAGTATTCAATACTGAATATAAAAGCTGATAGGAAATTGAATTTGATGCGAAATATAAAATTTCAATTCATTTTATCTAAACTAATCCTATTAAACTTAAATGTCACGGGAATTTGCATTGAATGGTAGTTTGAATCCAAATGATTTAAGAAAGTATTTTAAGAAAACCAACACATATTTTTGACAAATAACTAATTTAACTACTTTTCTTAATATATCTAAATTAGTTAAATAGATCTTATATTAAGGATGTAAGGTGGTACTCATCCGGTTCTTAATATATAACGAATTGGGACTACTATAATCATCGTTTTCTAAGAGACAGCTTGCTTAATGAGAAAGAAGATATGTAAAAAGAACATTGTGATATTAATTAATCAATAAAGTATTCAGATTTGATACTGATTAAAGTTTCTCTTTTTATGTCTTGGCTTTTCACTGGTAAAGTAGTCTAAATTTTGATTTATCTTATAGCACAATTTTTTTAAATATTCCCAGCCTTGAAGGAAGAGAGTTTCTTTTCTCTTTTTGAATACATACGTTCCTTTCAACAACTCTGTCGCGCGTCATTTGCACTAGCGTGCGAGATTTTTTTTTTTTTTTTTTTCATAATGAATGAAGCAAAATCAATTTTCTTCATATTTTATCATTAAGTCTTCAAGGAGTGAATTCTTTTAAATATTTTATAAGTATCTCCCTTATATCTCATGGCATCAAGACTTTGGGATTTGTTTCTTTCGGTCAATAAAAATTCAAATGGGCCTAAAACCCAGGAAATAAGACATAAAGTAGGTGAACATTTACAAAAACAGAAGGAGATTGAACACTCATCAGTGGCCCAACCAGATATGGTCCAGAAGAAAACAGTAGTTCCGTGGCCCAAAATAAATGGATGAAGCCCATTACCGTTGCTTAACCCTTGTGGGTTATGTAGTTAAAAAACTGTAGTGAGAATGTAAAATGAAATAAAATAATCAAGAAAAAATTAAATAAGCTAAGGTTTGCTCATTTCCAATTTAGGATCCAGGCCAATTATCTTAAAAATGCCTGTGGAGTAGCCTTTGATTTGAATTTTTAATCGTCCCACCGGTCCTACTTAATAACAACTTTTACATCAATTAATGAAATTAAAATAAAAATAATAAGTTAAAAAGGGTTTTGTTAATCAGTTAGGAACTTTTAATAATTATGTATACAATGTGAAATTTTTTTTAATACTTTAGACAAAGTATGTTATATTATGAAACATATTAAAGGTTCTTATAATACAAGGCGGAGTATTATGCAAAACATGTAGAGCCAAAAAGTCCATTAAGGCAATCAAAATACAAAAGCAAACAAATTCTTGTTATTGGTGGTAAAATATTGTATTCCAAGTTACACTATGACAACACTGTCAACAAAATATCATATCACGTTCTCACTCTTTTTTAAATCCCAGCTAGCATCTTATTCTGTTTCGCAATGAGGAACTGAAACACAAGGTAGAATATATAACAGGAAAAGAAAAAAATCATTCGGATGAAGAAGATCCCTTGAGCCTCTTGGCAATGCCTGCAAAGTACTTGCCCTGATGAAAAGCTTGGGCCAATTCCAATTCAGAAGGCTGTCTTGAGCCATCCCCTGCAAATGTGCCTGCACCATATGGAGACCCTCCTTTCACCTGCTCTATCTCGAACATGCCGGCACCGAATGTGTATCCAATTGGCACAAAAATCATCCCGTGATGAACAAGCTGAGTAATGGATGTCAATCTGAACAAATTCAGAAGCACAAGATTAGTGATCAAGTGTTATAATTGGCTTGGACTTGTTATGTTGTGTTGATCGTATATTCTCTGCAATGAAGAGATTTGGTAACTCACGGGGTGGTTTCCTGTCCGCCACCTTGAGATCCTGTGCTGTAGAACATTCCGGCAGGTTTTCCGGCAAGAGCCTGCGTTCGCCATAAGCCTCCAGTTGCATCCAAGAAGGCTTTGAATTGAGCAGCCATCAATCCAAATCTTGTGGGAAAACCAAACAAGAAGCCGTCTGCATCAGCTAGTTCATTGGGTGTGATAATTGGTACGTCACTCTTTGGAGGTGCCCCCATCTTCCCGAGTACCTCTTGAGGCAGTGTTTCAGGCACCTGTTCAGTTCAGGTAACTATAAGGATGGTCTCTCAAGAGTTTCTCATGGATTGGGATACTTAAATTGAATAATTTACTTTGATTGTTTGATTACTTTGGCGAATAGAAGAAGACAATCAGTGAAGGATATAGGAAGCCATATTGTTAAATAATTTACTCTGCACACATACATACTTGTCATACAATCACACAAGTATATTTAACAGCTGTGTTCTCAGTAAGTTCTTTTCCTTCCCCTCTCCCACCAGCCCAGCAGAAAAAAAGAAAAAGAAGAACGCATAAGTGTATTGTAATACTTTCAAACAAAACAAAATCATTTAATACCTGCCAGAGTTTTGCTTCTACTCCTTCGACAGAAGCAGCTCCTTTTTTAATCTCTTCAGCCAGCTTCTCAACATGTCCGTACATGGAATAGTAACTAAACATACAGTGCAGGTTTCAATGAGTCATTCATTACGAGTACAGAAGGAAAATACTGTGTGTTCTCATAGGCCTTATTGTAGCGACTGTCCATATAGGAAGCAATTAAAATACAGATGTTAATTTTCGTTAAAACCAAGGGTCTAGAAAGTCATCATAGAAGATAAACAAGCCCAGTAGGAACAGTGTGTTTCTTACCCCAGAATCCAAGGTGTGTTACAGGAAACAGTGTTAAGCCCTACCACTGACACATTAATATTAAGTTAAAGTGGGGCTATGTTATCATTTAGGGGAAACTATAAGCACATTAGTATCTGCCAATACAGAACGACATTGACTTCACATTCCCTACAGTAAGAAATTATCAGGTGAAGCTTTCCTTCATTGTTAGAAAAGAAACGTAATATTAGCAGAATTGCAATCCAAGGAAATAAAAACCAATCATTATAGTTTATGTAGCTGGAACAACCACTAATGATGATTGATTCCACGACCGCACTTTCTTAGAAGGGAGGCTTGCGTTCTTCTCACCATGTCTATCACACTTTAGAACCTTAATGTCAAAAGGTAGGTCAGGTTTCACAATCATGTCTTTCTTTCTCTATAATTCAGCAAATTACCCGTGAACCCACCACCTCCACACAACAGGTCAAAACTCTTAAACTTGCTTTTTTCATCATCTTTGGATTGTTACCTTGTGTTTGTACACTCGGCGTGATGTAAAATCTAGTAATTGTCAATACAGAGTAGCAAAAAGTCTAAATAACTATCAGAATTGTAGCATACAGGACAACAAGGCTCCGTAAAGGATAGGAAGAGAAATCATGAAGAAGAAATGACCGATTACGAGATGATTAAACAACTGAAGTATAATCGATTTTCTTTGGATATGACCCTAAGAAGAATTGAGCACCATATTCAATATTAATAGTTGTCCGGGTGCTTCTTTAATTTGATGCCATTAGTTTCCACACATCTCCAGGAACTGGAACCACTTCATTCAAGAATTTAATTGATGGCAAAAAGAGAATAAATATGATGCGATTCCGTGGGATCCAAACGCCATTGAAAAAGATGACGAGGAACAATAGGAAATCATAGTTTAGTTTCCTCCCGGCAATCCTTCAAGTTTAAGACAGGTAATGCAGAAAAAGCTCAATGAAACTCTGGAAGAAAGACCTACTTCCCAATTCATATATTCGCAATTACATATCCAAGAAAATTTGCGTTCAATTCAGAGCACATCATCACCGATGTTCAGAATGATAACACAGAGCAAAAGACAGAAGGGGCAGTAACTCCGCAACTAGTTAATAAGAACAATACCCCTATCAATCATTTCGCTAATGAAATTGACGGAGAAACTGAAACAACCCAGAATCGACAACGAGGAAAATCTATTAACTTTATATAAGTGCCGCCAAAAGAATCGGGAAAACAAGAAAATGAAATGAGATTCCGGTGCCAGTCGAAACAGCTGATGGCGCTCAATCAGAACCAAAACAAAAGAAAGAAAGAAAGAAATAGAAACGAGGAAGAATCACTTACACAATGTAAACTTTAGTAACCATCTTGTTCTGTGTGTTGCTCGAAGAAGCCAAAAGCTTGTATTGGTGAATCAAACGTTGACGACGCTGAGGAAGAAAGAGTACCCATACTTATATTCTCACGCAGCCTGTGATAACCGCCCCACACCTTTTTATTTATCAATTTATTATTATTTTTATTTATTTATAGTAAGGATTGTTCGATACAATTAATATTAATTAATGCCAAGAACTGTATTATAACTTTCTTACATTGACAGAATAAATTGCTAATTCTAAATAAATAAAAGAAAATTTTAGTGCTTGTCGGGTTCTTATAATCCAAATAATACTAAAAATCCCTTAAAACTCACCGACACATGAGAACTCTAAAATATTTATTTGCTCAAAAGAAAATAAATTTTTGATTCATAACGTTTAAACTCAATCTTATGGAATTCCTTCCACTTAATCAAAAGCAATTGCAATGAATCATTTGAGTTTGAAAATTAATGGTGCTTGCACTTATTTTAGAAAAAAGGAAGTAAAATCATTTGCATGTGACCCAATATATGGCTAAGAATTTTTTTTAATTATTTTTGTTGGTTTATTTACTTGTCATTATTGTCAATGTTCTTTATTGGTATAATATTAATATGGGTCTACTATTATGATCTGTTCGAGCTCATCGTGGTGCTGCATGATTAGTGGGTCAGTTACATCATATTATTGGTGTAGTTGTTGAAGTCACATCGG